AGAGAGAGAGAGAGAGAGAGAGAGAGAGAGAGATCAAATTCTGTTTCCGTTGACTTTCTTGAGTGTTGAACCTTGGCATGTAGATCATGCTGCGGGCTGACCACTCCCTCAAAACAAATCTCTTCGCTCCTTATCCACCCGTGAATGTTCGAGTCCCATTTGGGGTCTCGACCCTCTACCTTCACCGGTGTCTGTGGAGTGATCGTTAGGTAGTTCTCGGTGGCAAGCAGGAGATGGAGAGTTGCAAGTTATAAGATTATTGAGTATCTCTGTCTGACCGCCGGCATGTTGTACTCAGTTAAGCCTGGGTTTCCCCTAAACAGACTGAGACAGGATCAAAGCAGTTGGCTCGCTAAATATTCTAAATTCTGTTGATGAGGCATAAACATTCGAAAGCATTTTCCGCAATCTTCCGAAATTTGTTTGATTCGCAGCCAACTACACCATAATGCTCGGGTTTAATTTGATGTGCACATTCCTGACAACCGAACTGCTCTTAACATTTACTTGTACATTTTTGCATCACCAATATTCTCCCTCGTTCACAACCGCCATGTAGATGCGCTGTAAGAAATCACATCCGACCTCCAGTTTCAATTATTTTTTTCAGTCTTAACTTCAAGAGGAGATGGCGCAATAACTCGAGAGACCCTGGAGCGCAATACACGCCGCCAAGACGCGCCCTGTTGATTCAGATAACTCCGTGGGAAAGCCATGGATATCAGAGGCACTCAACACTCAGTTTAATCGCACAGCGTTTCATAAACATTAGATAGACTTTATTTGGAGGGGGAAAGGAGCGGAGTGGGGTGATGTGAGGCGAGACTAGGGACACACACAACTTGGAACGGCAGGAATGGGATTTTCTTTTCAGTATGCAATTTGTCTGTGCGAGAAACGTGCCCACGTGCAGCCGTATATCATATGCATGTGTTCTTTAACCATCTGTTTGCTCGTTTGCTTTCGTTCAACTCTTGTGCAAAAGACAGAAAATTTCGTTTTGAGTGAGAGCAGGGCACTGACTGACATCTCCGTCTGGACACTGAGCGGAAAGGACATACTATACTCCAGAGAACGTTGAAGATATCCGGAGGACATTCAGATCCGCAGATTTATTCATTTGCAAGGTAGTCAAGCGCCGATGCGTCCACGTCCAGCTTCTAAGCAAGTGTGTACACACGCAACCCCCCCCCCCCCCCTAAAAAGACGTTTAAAAAATAGATGCATTCGGAATAGTATTTAATATGAGCAAAACCCGGATGCATTGCTATGAGAAACAGATCATGGTGGGTACATGAGTACACTGGACAGGTAGGTGTGTTTATACTTCAGGTCAAGTCGGGTCAGGGCCGGTCAATCTCTTGAGCAGTCGCCATCGGGACAAAAAAATCTGTGATATACATACATGTATTCCTCTTTGCCCTGCAATGAGATCTTAGCATGGTGCCTGCCCAATGGCGGCGTCCAACAAGCTCTTCCTAATCTGTCTGGTATGACAGTCTCGCAAAAGAGGGTTTTGCTGAGCTGTGTGACGAGGCCAGATCCACACCCGTTTTCGTCTCTTCACATAGGTGAAAAGGGGAAGCTGGGGGAACCACAAGGCTCTCGGGCTCATAAATAGAAACTTAAGGATATTTTGAGGGTATACGAAGAGGCCCCGCAGGACGTTGAAAAGTTCTGTTGATATAATGTAAGTACGGATAGAATAATAGTACAAAGACGAATGGACAGAACCCAAAGATTTAACAAAATGACAATCATTGTGGGCTCGAATTCATTGAAAGGACACACCTGATCTATGACTAGTGCTTTCTCGATACATATTCTGTAATCATAGAACGATATTCGCACAATTGTTCTCACTCTCACATCTTTCCTTGTACATTATGTATGTTCACGCTGTTGAATACCAGACTTTTAAAAAAATCAACAGGCTTTTCAGAACGTCTTCCAACGGGATAGCCAGCTGAGGAAAAACTCAAACCACATGCCTATTGCAACCTTGAACTTCATGGTATTGGTCAGTTTCGCACTCAGATGCACAAGGAACCGTTGCATAATTTGAGGATAGGCTAATCATCTTAAAGAACTATGTTATATTTTAAGGGTCAGATAGACTTATATACTTAGGGAAAAGCCTTTTAAAAAGATTTAGGACGAGATTTACGCGTTTACGAAATAAATAGGTCAAATACGTGCCGAAGATTAGAGGTGATAGTCGAGAGAAGCATACAAATTAAACTATTTAAAGAAGGAGAGATAAGGGCAATAGATGTAAATCCCACCAGAGCACCCGCAAACCACGGAAGAAAGCCACAGGAAAGCCTTTCAACCACAAACGTACTTAAAAACAGACGAGATCATTCACCTACAGAGTACACGTTCAAGGTACCGTCGGTCATCCGGAAATTCAATTCACGCATACATCATTTCTCACTTCAAACGCTACCCTGGCACGCGTTCCACCCCAACCAGGACCATTTCACACCGCTGTGCGCCGCAACGGTGCCCTGCCCAGCGTCGACAGGCTCGTAAAAACCGCGCGTGGCACGGGCGTGAGTGAACATGAGCGCCGGCTTATCGCGTGCCCGTGTCTGTTTACACTAAAGTCTTTTTGACTACAGTATATCTATCCCGGCATTATTCCTGCCACTGCCACACACGGCGGGTACAAAAAAGGCACAATAAATGCATTTCAAATAGGAATCAAATTCGGGCTATTACAAACGCCAGCATCGCTTAAAAAAATATTTAATCCCACTACTTGTACTTAATTATACACCGCCCACTTGTCATTGTCATTACCACAATACAGTGAGGCAATTCCAGCGAAAGAAAGAAAATACAAAGTCTTTTCGTCGTGGGAAAAGATACTTACTGCACGCAGCACACGGACCAAAAACAGAAAGAAAAAAGAAAACGAAAGAAGACCGACAGTTCGGTGAGTCTGTGTACTTCACCTCCTATCCACATACCACATCAGCTCAGTGTGGGATGATGGAGAGGACCGCAGTGATTCTGAACGGGTTCTGTATCACCCCCCCCAAAAAAAAAAAAAAAAAAAAAAATAAATAAATAAATAAATAAATAAAAAATTACAATACAGTCACAGGAAAATAAAAAAAAAGAATAAAAGAGTAAACAAGATTTGTTTTGCATAATTTTCAAGCTGCTTTTTTTTTCATCTCGCAAAACCATTTCAACACATGCACGTACATATAACATGACAAGGTCACTTCAATAGCAGACACTGCGCCATGTTGTGGTCGGCAGAGAATCAGAACTAGGGCTGGGCAATGAGTCGCTTTAGCTAAATTCCGGATAACATGTTAGTACACCTCTTCGGCAAATAATATGACATGAACCGCTTCGGCAAATCGGTTAAAACAACTTTAACACACGGGTTAGCAATACTTCAACTCATGGGTGCACCCACTTTGGCAAACGGGTCAGGCAAGAGAGTTAAAGAGTCTGAATTCGGATAACGTTTCGTTGAGAATTATCCGGTTATCCTTATAGATTATCCGGATTTTGCCCACCTCTAATCAGAACCCGGAAGGGGGGATCTTGTGGCCTAGAGGTTGAGGTGTTCACCTCTCCTCTCATTCAAAGGTCCAGGGTTCGAATCCGAGCAGTGATAGAAACATTTTCTTCTCTAAAATCGTCTCCTTTCACCCCCTTCCCTGCTCTCAAGCAACGTTCTGTCGTCTGCTTTCGTCTCCACTTTCTGCCCCCACCCCCTCACATTCTTTACCCCTCCTCTGGGATCCTGACTCTTTCTGCAGCCTTTCTACTGCTACTCTTTGACTCCTTACTGTTGTCTTTCAGTCACACCCCTGACCTTCTGGTAGGAAAGATCTCCACCAAGCCTTCCCGGACAAGGGCCCATGTGCAAGTTGTGCACGTTAAAGATCCCTTGGTGGTCCAAAATCGATAAGAGTAGGCTTCGGCCGCCACCCGGGCAAAATTCAAAATTTCGCAACAACTGAAAATGTTTGGCGAGTCCTGCGCACTCATAATATGACCCTATGCAGTTGCAAGCGCTGTAAAACGCCTATCACAACATAGAAAAAAAAGAACCCGGAACAAGGTTTTTTGTTTTGTTTCGTTATGGCATGGTTTAGGATTTTCCTCCTCTTATTGTATGGCAGTGTGTTCTTCCTTCTCGTCTAAAAGTATGGTCAGTGGCCATTACGATACGGATATTGTGCTTTGGCTGTAGAATAAAGGGCTCCCAGTCTTCTTTAGATTTCAATGGATAAAGACCCCAATAGCTCTAAGGTTACAAGTTTATAAAAGAGGGTGTATACAGAAATAGAAGGATATATGGCTCCGAGGAAGTAATTAAAAGTGATTGCCAGGGAAAGAAATAACAGCAATAGACGGTCGATATAGACGGTCGATAAAAGAAACGGGAAAGAGTACAATTGGTGTGTGTGTGTGCGTGCGTGTGTGTGTG